AGCAGCTTTGAAGGAGGCGCGATGAATCTCGCGGCTCTTGATTTCTTGATCGGGGTGTTGCATTTTTTCCAGCTGTTGTGTGGGCGGATGTGGTGGGTGTTGCAGTTTCTGCAGCCAATGTTCAAAGCCTGGACCGACATGGGTGGTTTTGGCAAGCGACGCAGAAAATGGCTGGACGCCGATCAGCCTGCAGTGTTGTTTCCGCAGCAAGCACAACGCTGGCGGGTGAGACCAGCGAGCCCTCAAGCTGCGGGAGCTACAGCGCTGCCTCCCGTCAACCTGTTTGATTCTCTGTGTTTTTGGCCACTTTGGTATTTCCTAGGAGCCTAATCTCCAACGTGGTTGGTTCGTCGTTGATTCCCTTTCACGACAGCCGGACAGCTATATGCGCAACAAAGCCAGGTGTCATGCAGCAGAAGTTCGTTCATGAAAGCTGTTAAGGTAAACACTGTCGCGCCGGTTTGCATCGCCAACGCTTCACGGATTAGCTACGGACTCAGCGCAGAGATCAAGGATGCTTTGTGGATTTTGATCTCGCCAACCAGCAGTTGACTAGTGCCCTGCACTGGTTGCTTGTCTTCTGCGAGTCTCTATCCTATCACTTCCTGCAAGTTATTTCGGCATCGTGGTGTACAGCGCGGATGTAGAGAATCTTGATCTTTTTGCGGGGGTCCTTCCGACAGGTGCTGCTATGTATTTGGCACGGATTTCAAGGTGAAACCTCCTGTGCTTGTTGAGTTGCTCGTTGTGTGGCCTCTTCCCCGCGCCTTTTCGTTCTGCAGGGGCTGTCGCTTGACTTGTTTTGCCATACAAGAGCCTGAGGAAAAATGGATACCCCCACAACCATGAAGACACATTCGGTTCGAATCGTCTTGGGTTCTTGTAAGTGCACCCTGAGTTGTTCAGAAGCTAGAAGAGGCATGGATATGGCTCACAATTGTTGCTAAGACAAGTTCTCGAGTGGAAAACTTACAGGCCCCGAACCGATACTCAAACCGATACCTGACACTCATGACTCATGCCTGCCAAATCTTCCCACAGAAGACACGCGAAAGATGTCCGTGCTCCGCTGCCTGCTGCCTGCTTTTCATATGCGTGTTTTGTGGCCGCGTCAAAGACTTCTAGTGCACTTAGCTACTCGTAGCCCAAACACATTGCCCACCGACGCGCGCAGGAAAAAGAAACGATACAAACCGATGCTAGTGTTTGGGGGTACAAAAGTTTTCAGACGGGATTTACATTTCCAGCCCACTTGAACTCTGCAGTTATTTCGGTCACCTCAAAATGGGGCTGGTCAAACCAGGGAGAAGCCTCTGCACTGCTTTGGCTCACCTCGCCAGGCTTCGAAATTTCCTCGCCAGCAGCCTCGGTATTTTGCCATGCCGACTCTGTTCTCATGGACTCTTGAGGAATTTGGTGGTATTCGAAAGCTATCATCGTTTTTGGAAAGAGATGGAAAGAGGGTAACCTGAAGAGGGGAGTTAGCAACAGGTGCGAAAACTAGATGTGTGGCATGTGTGCGCCAAACATATGTCAGACATCAACAGGGTTCAGAACTTCAACAAGATCAGTACAAGCAGATGTTCACACCATGCATGACATGCTCGATATCAGGTATCACATTCTGTTTGCTTGTCCATTCAGAATATGTGCAAACATGCTAATTTCCTTTGGTTGGGACGGATAGAACCGTGCTTACATGAGTTTGTGGCTGTGGCTAAGTTGCTCACAATCACGAGGTAATTAATTACACTGAAAGTACCTGGAAGACAAATGGGGGGTGGGGGGGTGGGCAAACGGGGCTGAAGAGCTCAGCCCATGTGGGAGTTGTTCAAAAGGGCGCTGGTTCTGAGTATTCTGCGGTGGCATTGTCCTGTTTGACTGTTATGGAGACTCTCCCAAACAACAGTAATTCCAGCACGAGCCGGGGCAAGGCCAGCGCAAGAAATGGCGCCAGCGTCACACAGGACCTGCCCCCCCGGACTTCATGGGCCGGCGCTAGGAATAAGTGCTTCAAAAGAGCTGCAAAACAACACCGAGTTGCCCTTCCTTGATTTTTGTTCCTTCCTTGTGTTACCATTGCCCCTCTTTTTTCCTTTTGTCTGTTCCTTGGGCCGGGATGACTCCATGCTCACCCGAAAAGACGGGTTTGAATACCGATTTTTGGCCCTTGCTCAATTGTGACGACGTCTTGTCAAGCTCATCCCAAATAGCAATGTTTGGGGGTTTGGACCCTGGTAACGAGGTGCCTAGCGTCTGGGAGAAGTGCCTCTAATTTGGACCCTTGCCAAGTCTGTCCCAGTGACCTTGCGGTCCCAAAAGGTCAGCTTCCCACCTTACCTGAACCAGAAGAGACTCCAGAAAACGCCCAATGCTCAGGAGAGAATCAAGTTCAACCGCTGCGCCAGTCTAAACGCAAAGCATCTCGCGCGACCAAGGCCAGTCGCCGAAGGTGCGGGGAGCCTGTCGGGGTGGTCAGGGAGTTGGGCGCGGAGCCTGCCAGCCGTTCTCATGTTATGTTGTGTTGGGAGTTGCCATGTTGTCATCGGGCACTTGGTTTCTTGCGCATTTCGAAACAGCTCCTTCCAAAGAGGGACAACGATGTTAGAGGCACAAGGATAACCTCCCAAGAAGGGTGTGAGAATGTTGGGCCCGAGCAGCCAGTCGTGGAAAGCCCTTTTGGGCCGGTAAGACGCCTTTTGTCCTTAACTCATCTCCCTTTTCTGCAGAAAGGGCTGCTGTTCCTTGGCTTGCTTTAGAGTAAGGAATGAAGGCCAGGGTTTTCGCCAAGGCGGCGCTAGTCAAGTGCAATCCATTGTCAATCCATTGTCAAACGTCCAGGCTGGTCAGCCCGGGCAAGTCCCAGATATTGTGCGACATTGGGTTGCAAGCCTTTGCGCGCACATGGACCGATAGATCATGAGTAGGGTAGTATTGACTTGGGTGCCTATGGTTATTGAAACCGTAGCCAATCGGATTCAGGTTTTCTCCTTCCTAGTAGGCTGATTGGTTGCCAACAGCGTGTCCGCATGTCAAGCACATGTCAAGCACATGTTGCTCTTTCATGCAGGCATGATGAACTTGAGCACAACCAATCAATGCGACTGCTTCCTGGAGAGGCGAGAGTGAGGGCGGCGAGGTCGGCGGGGGCGCCCAAAGCTTTTGCAAATGACAGGTGTTGGTCAGCGTTTGGTAGAACCCACAATATGGGCATGTGTCCAATCAAAGCTGAAAGCCTGCGTGTGAAAAGGGGAGATATGAATTGTGGATGCTCCGTTGAATGGTTCAAAGAGAAGCATAAGGGAATCCCCTTTGTTGGGGGGGCTTTCAGGCATCATACAGGAAGCCAACATGCCGTTTAGAGAGTCCTTTTGGAGGCTTCTAACATTTCCAGTGGGACCATTGCGAAAAACCATATATTTTTTTCGGAGCAGAGCCGTAGGCTGACCCTGTGGGCCGGGCAACTTGCTCCAGAAGATGGCAGCCCAGCGTTTCAAAATTCCCTATTTTTGCTGGTCGAAAAGGTCTTGTTGCCAGGCTTGCCACCTGGATGGAGCAACGGAATGCAAGGTCTAAGCAAGGATCAAGTATGATCCGACAAACTGGAATCGGTCGCATTTGGGGCGCAACTTGGGTTTAGCAGAACCAACAAAAGCCCGCAAAACTGATGGTTTAGCAGAGTCAACGGGAAAGCCAAGCTGGATTTGGAGCTACGTTTGTGTATCACAGTGCCACTTATGGCTGAATTGATTCCAGAGGCGAATTTGCTGACTATGGCAGACTTTGCTGTCATGTGCTGTTTTTCCATTCCTGGTGTGTCCTTGTTCAGCGTAAACAAAGCAACATTGGTACAGGGCCATGCGTTTGGCATTGGGGGTCTTCACACACTTTATCAGCTTCACTTTTCTCTCGAGAGAGAGGACGACATGCTACCCTATTGCGCAGGCGATGCTGCACTCCAATCAAATTGACAATGCGGGTCTCAAAGAGCCAAAAGAAAACCAACCGAAAGCAGGAGCCGGGATTCCATTTAGAACTGGGCTCTAAGTTTGTGAACTCTTCGTGACCAGTGCTCCGAGTTCTGCGCCAAGATACCGTTGCAAGAGCCGTGCCAATGTTTAGATGTTGCTTGTTTGGTACAAGCAGCGCGCTGACCACTGACTACTTATCTACCTATTGCCAGTGGTCAGAGGGTCAGAGAATTGACCACTGCGAGCGAGCGAGTGAGCGCGGGGTGCGTGAGCGGGAGGGAGGGGGGGCGAGCGAGTGAGTGAACTGAGTGAATGAATGTGCTTTTTGGCAGCTCTGATTCATTGCTTTTTGATCACCTATGCTTTTCTATGTTGTTTACCAGTGGCTCTGACGAATTGGCGTCTCCAACCTGTGAGTTGCGATGCAAACATGTAGGACATCTTTGTTCATGTGCCTCCACGCAAACCGTGGCTCCAACTCTTGGGCTTGGCTCTGATCCATTTGCAACCTTGTTTTAACGGTTTGTCTTTAGATTAGGCGTGGAATTTGTTTGCAACATGGGTGGCTTTGGTTTACCTTTCAGTAAGTCAAGCAAAAAAGGCACCCTCAACACAAAGCACATTCATGTGTCCCCTGACCCTAGAGTCCCCTTTGGTGTTTTCGAGATATACGAGTAAATTTGGCTCTTACCTGAAGTTTCCATGCGATGCGCAGCACAAGATTTGATTAAGCCGGAGTAAAGTCACTTGCTAGTTATTGTGTGTTCGACAATAATTGCTTCTAGCCACCTCGGCCCCTTTGTTCACCACATTGGTTTCTGGCGGACAATGACGAGGTAATTCGGAGCGAACAGAGGGTTCACAAGAAAGCCGGCCCCAATATGGGTGTGTCTCTTTCTGAGGGTACCCTTTTTTTGGATTGGAAAAGGGAAGCCAGAAGGCAAACCACAATTTTGGGGGTCCCCTATTTGAATAACAATATAGACAGTTACCTGCTGAGTCTTGGCACATCCTGTCAGACACCGAGCC